TGGTCTTCCTCAAACTTGTATAATCTGAGTCTGGCTTTTTCCTCTCTTTCTTTTTTAAGAGCTATCTTTTCATGTCTAGACCTGGTTGGTACTCTTGGGTTAGTTATGTTGTTTTGGTTTCTGCGAGTGGCCGGAAATATGGGAGATAAAGGTCTTGATAGTGAGAATCCTATTGCTGGATGAGTATCGGGATTCAATATGTTTGAGAAGTTGGCAGGACCATCAAGTTGGGACAGGACAGAAATGCTTTCCTCAGGCTGATATTGATAAGTACTAATTGAGTTTCCCATTTCTATATATTCTGGTATCAAAAAGTTTAAGTCTATTGTGGAGGCGGTTTTGTTGTTATGTTCTTCAGTTGTAAGGGGTTCTGATGTGGAGGTCTGATGGTTTATATATATATCTTTTTTAGGAAAATTATTTTCCCTAAAAATGTGATTTGATTGGTTCGTAAGTGTTATTGTTGCTTTTTTTAACAGTAGATCTTTGCTAGTGGGATTAGAGTCTGATTGGATGATTTCTGTTGTATTAGTATTTGTGTAGAAATTTGTTTGTTGGTTTGAAGAGGTAGGGGTTACTGATTTTGTTGAAAATATACTTGTTGTTGACACGAGCGAGTGTTAAGAATTTAAGTTGTTCATCTGATATGTTGCTTTAATAAGAAATGTTTTTTTCCTCTTGAGGTTGATCTTGTTATGTTGGTCATATTTCAAGGAACGTGCTTAGAGTAGTTCCAACTTTTTTCTAGGACCAGTTGTAGGATGGAATTTCTGAGAGCACCATTATTTGCAAAGATGCTTTGAAATAAGTTTTGGAAGTTAAGGAATTCATCCAAGTGTTTGATCAATTTCTCTTTAAGAATTGATACTCGGGTGGTGAGGCTCTTTTTGTCTTGACTGGAGTAGAATTCGATTTGGAAAAGTGAAATATTTTTAGAGTTGGGTCTGGTTATATTGGTGGTAGGTATGAGCTATCTTGTAGGATAATTAGATAGGTACGGAATAGTGGAGGAGCTTGATGAACTAGTTACTACAATTTGGCCTTTAAAGTTCAAATAAATAATGGATACCTACTGTTTGCTTCTTTCGATTAGTATAATATCAAGAAGAGTTGATATTGGATTGGTTGGGAATTGGTTTGATGATGTGGTTGTTGTTGGTGTTGATATTGTAGTGGAGGCTGCTGCTATGGGTGTTTGTTTGTTTGTGTATTGAGACATTTTTATTGGATTGTTATTAAATTTGGATATGCTTTGATGGGCGAAGATGTATTAAGTGATTTGACACGTGTTTTGCCAATATTGGAAGATGTGTTAGTGTTTTGTTGCTCAGTCTACTGTTGTAGCATTTGATTTGATAAATTGTTTACGTGATCTACTGTGATTAACACGTAAATGGATAGTTTGACATGTAATTTGGTAGTTAACACGTACTTTAATGATTTGTGTACATGTTTGTTGTTAACTTCGCATGTTGTTAGATTTAATTGTATAACCTAGCTTTTGTTATTGTGAGTTTGATACATGTTTGCGCAATCAAGAGTTTGTAGGGGGCAAACTGATTTTGGTTTTTTAGGCTGGTTGTATGTACGTTAAGAAATTTTAACTTTGTTTAGTTGATGGGGAGCTTTGAAAACCTTCTAGCCTTTAGGATGGTAATGAGATTGTCTAATTTATTGGATGTAATCTGGCCTCTTAAGGGTTCCTGCAGTGTCAAGAAAGGTATTTAACCTGATACTGGCCTGGCTGTAAGAGTAAAAGTAGTATTAGCTTCCTGAGACCTAACTGTGAATCAGTTGGTTTGCCTTGTATTCCTCCTGGAAGCAAAGAACTTTTTGTTTTGCTTTTTACTTGTTGTTCTATAAAATAAAATAAAGTGTTAAGTTACAATATTGTAGAGATGTATACCTTTGTTTTTGGATGTCTTTTGAATGATGAGTCTTTAGTTATAAGTGTTTTGAGAAGATAAAAGATTTTTGTTTTAGTTACTTCCTGATTAGAAAATTTGGGATGAATGGGAAAAATTATTGGATACTTTTCAAAACCTTAATACAGTATTATATTATAAAATAAATAAATAAATAAATAAAATCAAATTATAAAAATTTTTGATTTTTTTATTCTATTGTTTTATATATTTTATTTTAATTTAAATTGAAACTAATTTGATTTGAATTTTATCAAATTAAAAATTTTAAAAACTAAACTAATATAAATTAAAACTATTTTCTAAATTAATTGGTTTCATTTTAAAATTTTAATTTTTATTTATTACTATTACTTATATTATTTTTTTGTATTATCAATTCATATATTTTTTTAGTTTATATAATTTCTTTTATATTGTTTTAACTTAACAAATTAATTTTAAAAAAATAAAAATAATCTTTTGGAATTTTTATATTTTTTTAAAAAAAAATTTTAGGGTTTTTTTATTTAATAATTTTAATAAACACAAGCATTTTTTAAAAAAGTTTTTTTTTTATTTATTATATATTTTAGATTATTATATTTATATACAGTATATTGTATTTATAACAAGTTATTTTGATATTGATATTATATATAATAATATATAAATATAATATATTTGAGAAGTATTATTATTTATTTGAAATAAAATAGTATTACAATACTTGAAGATATGTTTATATAATTTTAAATTATAATAAAAACAAGTTAAGTTTTATTTTTTAGATAACTGTACAGTATATATATTAAAGAAATTTTCAACTCTGTTTAGTCAATAAAAAGTTAAATTAGTAATAAGATTATAAAAATTGTTAGATTTATTAGATTGAATCTGATTTTTAAGAGTTTTTACAATATTTAAGAAAAGTATTTAATCTAATATTGATTTAATTATAAGAGTAATAATGAGTTTTGATTTTTTAAGATTTGATTGTAAATCAATTAATTTAATTTATATTCTTTTGAATCTATAAAATTTTTTTTTTTATAATTAATTAAAAAAAAATTAGTATTTATTAAAGTATAATGGAAAAGAATTTTTTTAATAATAAAGTGATTTTTAATTATATTAATTAATCAATTAAACCTTTGTAATCAATTATAATATAATATAATATAATATAATATAATAAATCAAAATTTGTCAATTGATATACAAGTTTTTTTAAGTTAATTATTAAATATACAGTATACAAATCATACCTTTTTTAACAAATTCGAATAGAAATAATAATATAATAATATATATATATATTTAATTAATACACAAATTTTCGACTAGTTTCAAATTGATGCTTATTATACGGTAAATTGGTTTTAAATAAGAGTTAAACTTTATATAAAAGGTATTTTAATCTCAACAATAATAATTCATATGTTTTTTATGTTTTTTAAAATAATCTATAGCACGTTTTCATTTGAACGTATATACTGTACAGTATGTATACAAGTGTATCAATAAAAAAACAATAAAAAAAAAAGGTGAAGCCATTATGAATAATAATTGATCAATTGTTCAAGAACTTTTTGTCAAACAATCACTTTTCATGTAATTTCAATATAAGAAATCTTATTAATTTAGATTTTGCAACTCTTGACTTTTATTTGCCTTTCAATCAAATCCCATACACCATTGCATACGGTACCCGGGTATCCTGAAAAATTACTTGGGGAAAAAAAAAAAGAACAGTACTATCAAAAAAATCAAGAAGGGTAATACTAATAGGGGGGTATTGTATTGCAGCGGTTTACAGTAATTTCTTATTACGGTATATCGTTTTACTATTTACTGCATTTATTTAATTTAATTAGTATGCATGTTTGTTATTTCTAGAAAAATATATACCCGACACATTGTCGCACTAAAATTGTGAAACGCGGCTAAAAAAAAACGTCGCAAGTCTTGTACAATGCACATATGCACATACTCATCCCTCATGCATTAGATTGTGCAGCATTTCAAGAAAATCAGTTACTGGATAGGATGGAGTTGTAAATTCATTTTCTAATTATAGAATTTAATTGACATTGTGAAATGAACAAAGAATCTAATTACTAGCGTCTAAGCTATCAGGAAAGTTCCGGCAGAGAAAAGCTCTACCGGATTAGAATCGGTGGTGCCATTTGCTCTGCATCCAAATTTCCATAAAGCACCCTTTGGAATATCTGCCGGAAGCGTGAAGGTAAATTCACCTTTTTTAAAGTCCATGGCATCAGGAAGGAAAAAGAAGGGAGTAATGGTAAAATCGGTCGTGGGTTCGAGCAAACCCCATGCAAATGTAAAACCGTCTCCTAACTTTCCTTTCCATCTAGCGAGAAAGGTGTCACCGGGGTGAAGAACTTCACCGGCACACGGCTTTATAAAGGTAATCCCAAAGTCTGGTTTACCGATTCTAAAGGTAGCCGAATAGTCCATCCTGCGACCGGCGAGGTAGATAGCAATATAATTTTGGGGACTTGGCTTAGCGAAATCACCTCCGACAGGAAGTTTAAGCTTTAATTTGTTCGACCCGGAATGAAGCTTAACATTTTTAAGAAGAGTAATATTGTAGGTGGAACCCCGCTGTAAGAGATTTACTGATTCAAGATGGTTGACCGAGGGTGGACAGAGAATTTCCAAGTTAATTGTTTGCCCTAGTTCGAATGATTTTCCGGCAACTTTGCTAACAATCCATGGGCCAGGAAGAAGTGCGGAAGGGTATGCACTGGCAAGAGCGGTAAAGAGAACAGTGATCAACAAAAGATTTTTCAGCATTATGAAGTAGTTGATGAAGAAAAAAAAAAATTGCAACCAGAAAATGCTTGCTACTCGTCCATTCTCAATCAAGTCTACTCTTTATATAGAAAAGTTTTTTTTTGAAGAGCTAATGTAATTTTAATTAAGGGATGCCTGCTCATTGAAAACAATCAATTGAAGCACACTGCAAATACAATAAATACAATTCAACGGTACGGCAAAGAACGCGTTAGACACAAAGGACAATGATTACATAATATAATTAAATGTAAATCCCGATTTCCTAATCAAGTACCAGGCGGATTTTTTAATCGGGAAATCCTAAGATCGGTATTCTAGAAGAACATTTGAGGACAAATGAATTTTTTGTTGATAGAATTATAATGATGTTACACGTAACACAGCGGTTACATTTAATTTGAAAGTTCATTGAAATGCTTTACTCTTAAAATCTTCCACTATTACTCGTAGAACGTGCCTCAAAAATGACACATAATATGGATTTTCGCTATATCTAACATAGAGATCAACTTTTTCGAAAGTGGAAAGTTCTAATGATTCATAATTCTTATTTATGATAGCTAAAAAACATAGATCTATTATGATTAAACCGAAAAACAGTGGTTCGCATGAATTACGAATAATATGGTGAACAAAATAGTTACCTAAAACCTAACATTGTGAGAATTCAAAAATATAAATTAATGATTGAAGCAACCAACCAACCAATTTATTTTATATACGTACCTGCTCAGGGAGTAGAAACTTCACATTGTTGGACAACTTCCATGCTTCAATCTTCAAATGAAAATGCTCACAGACAGTGATGATGTTAGTAAGAATGTCAGGATCCGAGGATGCAAAACTCTTTTGAGAAGCTGACTTCTTGGAATTTTCCAAATTTTCATTCGAGTCTTGATCATAAACTATAATTGAAAATGATAATTTATGACGAAGATCGCAAGGTTTCGAGTTTTTTTTTTTTTTTTGTTTTTTTTAAAAAAAAAGCTGTGTTATACATACGTATTTCGTGAAGATTTTTAAAGACCTCGTCCGTTCTAACAATCTCATAGAACAAATTGTCATAAGCTGCAGGATCCGGAAGGAATGAATCACCAAATGTAATACAAATATTGAGAATATTTATCGCCGAGATCAATACTTCGTTAATCGAAGAACGATCTTGATTAAAATAATCATTATTAGAAAGGATGAATTTGAGTAACCCAGTCAACGAATTCCATAGCTCAGTCCAATGGTAATCTTTAAATTACAAGCGCAAAAATTTTTAATATGATAATACCGTTTTTTCTTTTTTAAAAGAAAAAAAAGTTGATTATTTACTCAGTCTGATGCGCGATTTTTTTAAATGACACAATATTCGGTATATAATCCTTAGTGCTAAGCTATGGGAAATTATGTTAAGCAAGATAACCCGGTATGAAAAAAAAAAAACGCCATTAAGATTAAATTCAAACCTAAATAAATCGGTCGCCAATCTTTTCTTCATATTGTGATTGATGAACCCTATAGAAATATCTAATATGGTGCAAGCCAAGGGGCACGGCGTTTTGATGCTGGCAAGTATTGGTGCTCGCTAAAATAATCGTTAATTATTTGGAAAGGAATGAATAGTTTCTCATCCGAATTGGACTACAATGAAACGTACCTGCCTACAAAGCCTGACGCAGTAAATTTTTCGCTCGTCACATATGTTCTCGTTAAACATTTCATCCTCCAATAATATTGTCAGTATTAACAAAGTAATTTTTGAATAACCCGCAGTACGAACCGAACGGTTGTGTTGCAAGAGGTAGGACGAAAATGAAAGAAAATCGATGACAGGTACGCCGTCGTCTAAACAAATAGTAAGAATGCCTATTTAAATTGTATTGCTTTTTCTCCGCATCCTTCTTTCTTTCATTATTTTTACAAACACAAGCTGGTAATAAATTTTATTAGCGTTATTTACTGTCGGATGAAGTTTGATCGTTTGATTTATTATCATTCTCGGTGATAGATTTTGCTAGGTGTGCAACAAATCTTCTATTATTATTCACAAGGTCGTAAAGTATTAATAGTATCGCGATATCTGCTGGTGGCCTGTAATATTGAACGTCGAGATCTTCATTAATAAAACTCACCAACGACTGTGAGATGAATAGTTCACTTACAATCGACCAAATGATAACTCCGGATCGGGATCGTTGATTTTTTTTCGTGTGTTGTCGCCGTTTCCTCCCCAAGGTAAAAAGGTACCAACATAAGATAAGACCGAATTAACCGAATATTTATGTGTCTCATCATCATCTTGAATGTCGATATACTGACTAAAAGAAGTATGTATCATAAATCGTTGTTCTTCCTCATATTTATAAAAAGGCAACAAATTTCTTACCTACGACATCTCAAACAGATGGAAGCCACGGTTTCCATGATTTTCTAATTTCCAATTCTCATTATTTCATTACTTTATCGATTAACCGATCAACCTGTAAAATAGTCAATACCTGTAAAAACGCTTCGTCTCTGATTTCTGAGATCTTTAGCAAATAGGGATTCTTGGATTCGTGTTTATTATAATTTGCCAAGATTCCAAGTAACATGATGCCATCGAAAGCAACGTGCGAGGTCTCGGGTAACATTATTATCTTTACGAACAAGGTTGGAAGTGATAAGTTGGAATTTTGTAGAAAAAGCGAACGAATAAGTTATGTGGAAATTATATGTTACTTTGGATAACGGTTCGAATATTTCGTTTTTCATGAAATACTCATTTATGCTGTTTTGGTTAATATTACTATTCCCGCATACGGTCACAATCGCGAGGCGCAAAGCCTCACACTTGATCTCGACTGTATATGCATATAGATTAATGCCATCAGTATTTGCGGTCAAGTAAACTTTCCCAAAAACATGAAGCACATCAATTACCAGATTCTCCTTCATTCATCAAAGAATATATTCCATCAATCAATTTCTACAAATTAATTCACGTTACTTGAAAAAATATGATGAAAAAATCAAGAAATGTGTGACTTTTTTTTTTTTTACCGGGAAGACGATATCAGCGTTGCTCAATCCGGTCAGCAAATTGATAACCTCAAAACTAAAGTTATTAAATCTCTTGTCAAAAATTCCTTGGAGCAGTACACATAATGTCTATACGAAATATGAAGACGTACGAATTCAATTTTAAATCATTAACGCCTAATAAGTCTAACGAGAGTGGTCACCTCAATTGCATTCATCTTCCGTTTAGTGTTTTCCTCTTTTAAAGCTTCAATGGATTTCAAAAAAATCTTGCCAATATTATTCTAGAATAGGAAAATGGGTAAAACATCGACTTTTTTTTTTATCATTGTTTTGGGATACAAGATGATTTCATGCCTTGATGGCCCATAACTTCTCCTGTGATGTTTCGGAGATGAGTTTCATCAAGTAGGCTGAATTGACCCTGAGTAAAAATAATTCATCCCAAAAATGTGGTAACCCTTCCGAAGGGTCATCTCCCTATTGGGAAAGTCGGAATTGGGTGCCATGTTGAGTTGAGTTAAAAAAATTTCACCGCGATGAAAGTTATATTGACCGATGCATAAAGATTATACTGTGCCTTGAAGAATTTTTCGTAAATTTCCACGAATTTTTCCTTCAATACAGGTTTGGAACCGTGTGCGGGTCTCGCGGCTTTCCAAACGAATTCTGACTTTGCAGGAGATTTAATAACTTTAGTTTTGAGGTTATCAATTTGCTGACCGGATTGAGCAACGCTGATATC